TGGCCCAGTTTAACGAGAGCACAGCGCACGGGGACAGGAGCAGACATCCAGTTAGCACAGGGCCCTGGAGGAACCCGAATGACGGAGCGCTAAGAAATACAGACTTTACTCAACAGGCAACAGTTAGTCACTGAAGTCTTTGAGGTACAAAATTACAGTCAGAGCTCTGCTTTAAAATTCCTCTGATAGCAGTGCCAGAATGGAGACAAACGAGAAATGCAGGGACTCTCGCGTCTTTCTTAGCGAGAGTCTCAGCAAAAGCGATCGAGACCAGTAGTGTAGTTCTCACTGCCATGTGCCTGCTGCTTACTGGGGACTGTGTTAGCATGAGGGTTATAAGGAAGAATGAGACCCGTTTCCTGTTCCTACAAAACGTACTGTCCAGCTGTGAAGACTGACATACGAATAACTAATTTCCATGTGACACAGTAAGCTTCAAGGCAGGTGTGTGCACAGGAGGCCAGGTGAACCCAGAGGTTAAGACCTACCTGGTAAGGGCAGGAAGAGAACTGATGGAATGTAATGTCACAGAGATCTACAGAAAGTTTTACAAAAAAGCTAGACAATACTCTTATAAATGTTACAGAGTGTGAATAGGATATAGAAAGTAAATGAATTCCTACTTCATTTTACGATTATGGCTGCCATTCCTCTGAACAAGGATAATTTCATTCTTCAACCAAGACCAAAAACTTTCTGTGTACACCCAGGATCAAATATAAATCAGAAATGTCTTTATTAGCGCCACAAAAAAAGAAATCAGAAATACAAATAAACAAATCACACGGTCATAATATCCTACTGTGCCACATTCTACCTCAGCCCTTGCTCCAACCTCCTAAGGAAGAGATCCTGGCAGGCATGAAGGATATTGCACAAATACGGAATAAGCAGAGAGGCAAAATAATACAGTAATTAAAAACACAAAACTTATACTCAAAAAGAATTGGATTGAATCTCAGTTCCAACTGTGTACCAGCTGTGTGAATTTGGATACCTTTTGAACTTTAATTTTTTTTCATAAATAAAATGGGGATGGCTGACTTGATAAGACTGTTTTAAAAATTAGGTCTAGTGTTTATAGTGCTTAGCATAGCACCTTGGACATAGGAAGTGATAAGTTATGCTATTTCTTCACCGTTGTTATTACTGTCTGTGTTTTTGGTGGTAGGCGGTAGGTAAAGAGCTACTCTAAAATGCCAAGTAGACAGAACAATGAAGAAGTGGAAGCAATTTGAAATAACACCCTTCCCCTGGTTAGGGAAGGTAATTTACAAACTTTCCCCTTCTCTTTCATCTCTTCCAAGTAGACATCACAAAACTGGTGAAACCTCTCTTTAGAAAACTACAATACCGTAGGATACAATCAGGTAAACTGGAGGGGCCACGGGCTTTGAAGGGCGAAAGGGCTTCTAGCACGCCAAGCTTTTGAGCATGACAGCTCACCTCAGCCTTGGGAACGTCCAGAAGAGGAAGTGCTGGGGTTGGGGAGGGAAGACGAGGGAGGACATTCAGGCTTTAGGGGGTTGTTGGTTCAGTTCCGCTAAGTAAGAAAGAGATGGAGGTCTTAACCAGAAGCTGCAATCGTATCCCAAACATACACATTTGGCAGGGATTTTCATTAGCATTCTTTTTAATATGGAAGGATTGGAAACCTTTAAGAAAGGTTAAAGATAAATATAGTTCATCCAAACTATAATAACTGCTATTAAAAAACAATAAGTAAAATTTTAAGTCTGATGTGGAAGGAAGCCCATACTGTACAATACCTTTACATAAAAAACTGCAAAGTATTATTGAGAGAAATTAAAGATATACTAGTATCTCTTTTATTCAAAGATAGGCAATTAGACATAGAATCCAGAAGCAGATCCACACATGGTCACATGATATATGGCTCTGTGGTAAACGGGGAAAATCGATGGTATGATCTCATGTATTAAACACACATGTACATATTTACTTATTTGCATACATTCAGATACACTAAAATGTTTACATAAGCAAATAAAAAATGTTTAGAAAACTGTACAACAAACCACTGTTGGAGGTATTTCTAAGGGGCAAGATTACAAGAAAAGGATGTATTATATACATTTTTTATAATGGTCATGACCTAGTAAAAAAAATCTATTTCCATTT